TCTCTCTGACCCATAGAGTTATACAGCATGAAAACAGATCTCCTTCAGACTCCCCACCCACTTTACCTCCTTTGTTCTTCATCCACTTTTGCACATTCCTCACTTCTCACTCCTCTACCTGCTTCTTCCTCTTGCTCTTTTCCTCAATCTACACATCAGCTCCTCCATCTCTTCCCAGCTCATTTTATCACCTACAGCCTCCCAAGTGCAGCCCCTCTTCTCACTCACTGGCCTCACCCCACTCACTAACCCCCAACTGCTCCTCTCTGACTCCTCTGCCATTCTTTGGCCCTTCTCCCCACACCCTTCCTTCTCCCCTTCCCACTTCAGCCCAGCCTACAGAGAAACTATTTGTCTTTAAAACTGTGGACAAGAAAATAGAACATTTAAATAAGAAGGCATTTACCAGAATGGCTGCACAATTTCAGAGCAACAAATTTGATACCTATTGTGCACTGTTTTTGTGACTATGGGTTCCTGCAATGTACACACAATCAAGAGCTGAGAAGCAAATTAAGCCAATTGGTTCTCAGCTAACTGAACAGGTTGAAACGGAGAACAAGTTAGAGACACAGACAGGAAGACATTCAAGACTGCATTTGTTCTCCCCAGCAGTAGTTGCCTGTTCTCTGTAGTAAAACTCAGTTAGTCAGAAGAAAACCAGTTACTTTTCCCACAGCAGGTGCTGAGAGCTGTGACCTTTCAATTGATAACTCAGACATTTTTCAAGTGAATCAGTCATACTATACTATTTACAAACTAGTTGAAGATTCCAGAAGAAAGACAAGTAAACACCTGGGAAGCCAAAGAATGATCATCTCAGCATTGGAATTAGGAAGATATGGGCACTGAACTGACTTTCCAGTTATTTACCTCCATCAAAAATTTATTTTCAGTATTTGTTGTGGTTGTGTAATCAAGGGGGAAGAGTTTTAAGGGGATGGGAGTTTTAGTCAGTGTTATATGCTAATAGTTTAACAATGTTTGAATCACTAGGACTTCTTCTGGGGCAGGGGTGATCTGTACAAAAGGGACAGGTTGCACCTAAACTGAAAGGGAACCAATATCCTCACTGGAAGATTCACAAGTGCTGCTCAGGAAGGTTTAAACTAGAGTGGCAGGGGTCTGGTGACCAGAGCAGCAGGTCAGCAGAGGAGGGATTGAGGAAAAGGTACATAATAGGATCAGTAAATCATTAAAAAAAAGTACAGGCAGAGACAGTACATGAACACGATGATACTAATGGGCTTAAGTGTATTTACTTCAATGCAAGGAATATTATAGGTAAAGCAGATTAGCTTAGAGCCTGGATCAGTACATGGGACTATGATGTTGCGGGAGGGGGAGGGGGAGCGGGAGGGGGAGGGGGTTATGGTAGAAATAAAAACGAGGCAATTACTTTGCTAGGATTATATGACAGGTCTCCTAACAGTCAGAGCCAGATAGAAGAACAGATATGTAGGCAAACCACAGAAAGGTGTGAGAGAAACAGGTTACAGTTAAAGGGGATTAAGATAAGATTAGACAGGGTGAAAATTACAACTGGATCAGGCAGGAGGTAGGGAGTGTTAATCGGGAGGAGCTGTTATCAGGCAAGTCCACATTTGACATGTGGGAATTGTTTAAAGACCTGCTGATGAGAGTTCAAGACTAGCATGTTCCAGTGAGGAGGAAAGACAAGGATGGCAAGGTATGGCACCTGTGGATAATGAGGGAGGCTTCAAATTTAGTCAAAATGAAAAAAAAAGCAGCATAAGTAAGATTTAGGAAGCTAAAATCGGACAGGACAGGACAAGGGTTAAAGGGAATGCCAAGGCATTCTATTCATACATTAAAAACAAGAGGATAACTAGGGAAAAGGCAGGACTACTTAGGGAACTTGAGCTCGGAGGCCAAGTATTGAGTGAGATCCTAAATTAGTATTTTGCATCAGTATTCACCCAGGAGAAAGATATGGAGGATAGTGAGATTTGTGTGGAGCATGCCAATATGCTACAGCATTTTGAGATCAAGAAAGAGGTGGTATTGTGTCTCTTGAAGAGCATTAAGGTGGATAAGTCCCTAGGGCCCAATGATATGTACCCCAGGCTTTAAGAGAGGAGATTACTGGGGCCGTGACCAAGATCTTTGTATCCTCATTAGCCACTGGAGAGGTCCTGGAGCACTGATGAGCAGCTAATGTTGTTACTCTGTTCAAGAAGGGAAATAGGGATAATCCAGGAAACTATAGACAGTGAGTCTCCCATTGGTGGTTGGGAAGCTATTGGAGAGAAGTTTTAGGGGTAGGATTTACGTGCATTTGGAAAAAGATTGGCTAATTAGGGACAGTCAGCATAGCTTTGTGCAGGGCAGGTCATGTCTTACTAACTTCATTGAATTTTTTGAGGTGACAAAGGTGATCAATGAGGGTACAGCAGTGGATGTTGTCTTCATGGATTTTAGTAAGGTTTTCAACAAGGTCCCTCATGGTAGGCTCATCCAGAAGATTAAGACGCATGGGATCCACAGTGACTTGGCTGCATGGATTCAGAATCAGCTTGGCCATAGAAGATAGACAGTAGTGGTGGGAGATTGTTTGTTTTTCAGGTTGAAGGTCCATGACTAGTGGTGTTCCACAAGGATCCATACTGGGACCTCTACTGTTAGTGATATATATAAAAGACTTAGATGAAAATGTGGATGGGTGAGTTAGTAAGTTTGCAGACAATAAAAAGATCAGTGGAGGTGTGGACAGTGTAGAAGATTGTCAAGGATACAGCAGGATATAAGTCAGCAGAGAAATGGCTGATGGAGGGAGGCGCTGCACTTTGGGAGATCAAATGTTAAGGAAAAGTATAGAGTTAATGGCAGAACCCTGAACAGCATTGATGTACAGAGGAACCTTGGGGTTCAAGTCCATAGCTCCCAGAACGTGGCCACATAAGCAGATAAGGTGGTAGAGAAGGCGTATGGCATGCTTGATTTTATTGGTCTGGGAATTGAGTACAGGAATCAGGATGTCATGTTGCAGCTATATAAGACTTTGGTTAGGCCATGCCAAGTACTGCATTCAATGTTGGTTACCACATTACAAGGAGGATGTGGTGGCTTTGGAGAGGGTGCGGAAGAGGTTTACCAGGATGTTGCCGGGATTAGATAGTATTAACCATAAGGAGAGGCTAGAAAAACTCTTTCTCTGGAGTGGTGGAGGCTGAGGGGAGACTTGATAGAAGCCTATAAAATTAGGAGACGAATAGTTAGGGTTGACAGTCAGAATCCTTTTCACATAGTTGAAATGTCTAAAACGGGGTGCAGTGTTCAAAGGACACCTGAGGGGAAGGTTTTTTTTAAAAACGCAGAGTGGTAGGAGTCTGGAATGCGCTGCCAAGGGTGGAGGTGGAGGCAGATAAGATAGAGGCATTTGAGACTTTTAGATAAGCACATGAATATGCAAAGAATGGAGATGTGGACCAAGGGCAGGCAGAAGGGATTAGTTTAATTTGGCATCACATTTGGCACAACATCATGGGCCAAACAGCCCGTTCATTTGCTGTATAGTTCTATGTTTAGCTATATCTATAGTCTAATTACTTAGAAATAATTCCTATATAGGTTTGTACATAGAATGAACTTTGAGGAATTGATAGATGCAGGTACAGTTACAACATGTAAGAGACATTTGGGCAGACATGAATAGGAAAGGTTTAGTGTGATATGGGCCAAATGCAAGAAAGTGAGATTTGTTTAGTTTGGGAAACTTGATTGGCATGGACGAGTTGAATCGAAGGGTCTGCTTCCATGCTGTATGACTAATACAAAACTTTGGTCTGTACTTTCTCCCAACCTTGGTCCAAGAGTCAGCTAAGTTGGACTGCAATGCATACCCTAAAAAAAAACTTAACATTTGATACAACACCAGGAGTAACAAGCCTCAATTTGCAGCCCCCTGCTCACTCCTAGCCCCTCCCCATCACTGTGGCTCCAACACCAGATCCCTTCTCATTCCTGCCCCTCATCCTCGCCATATCCAATTCACCAAGGATTAGACCCCTCTACCCATGACAATAGTCCGTCATATCACAGCACCACCCTCACACCCAATCCTTCCTGAAGTCTTCTTCAAAACTACAGCCCTCTCCTCCTCCAGCCTCTCCAAGTCTACCACCCCACCTCACTCCTGCATCTCCCAAGACTGCAGCCCACTCTTCACTGATGCCCCACCATTGCTATAACCCTAAAACAATAGCCCTTGCCTCGTACCTGCCCCACCCCTCAGCATCCCCTCTTCTCACTCCTGCCTCTCCCCCTGACTGCAGCCCCATCTGCAAACTGCAGCTCCCTCCTCATTCCTACCCCCCCCCAGTCTGCAGTCACCTCCATCCTCCTGTCTCTCATCCTCACCATGACCCCCTACCAGACTGCATCCCCCTTCCTCACTCCTGCTTCTCCACGTCATGCACCCCTCTGCAAACCACAGTCCCTTCCTCACTCCTGCTCCCTTTCCCTCACCATATTCCTCCCATCCCAGACTGCAGTCCCTTCCTGACTGACTGACTACCCATCTCACCATGCTCCCTCCCCAGACACCAGCCCATTTGCACTCCTGACATCTGACTGCAACCGCTTTCCCCAGACCCTGCCCTGCCCTGCCCTCCCACTCCCACTCCCACTCCCACTCAATGACTCCTCTTCATTCCGCCGCACCCCTTCACCATGCCCCCCCCCCCCCCGACACCCGCCCCCCCCCTTACCCTACCCCAAACAGCAAACCCCCCCCCCACTCCTGGCCCCCCCCCAGTCTCGTGCCCCCAATTTCGGCCCAAACCCCCTCAATGGTCCCTCCCCTTCACTGTCAACTCCGCCCCAGAGTACAACTCCTCTCCGTCTCACTTTACCTTGACGTTCCGGGCCGGTTATGGCCGCTCTCGTTTTCCAGCCGCCGCTCGCGCTCCTCCCGCTCTGCTCGCGCCAAACCGTCAGCTGACCGCATCTGACGTCATCGGGCCGGCCCGTGCCGGTGACGCAGAAGGTGGGGTTACGTGATTCGGCGGCAACCGGTCTTTAGACGTTAGGGAGAGGTCGCCTTGAGGTTGAATGTCGTTGCGGTGGACGAGAGAGTTCGAGCGACCCAGGTGATCATTTCAGAGAAGAGAGAAGAAGTGTCCCTTTTGGGGGGGGGAGGAGAGGGGAAGGGGGGGGGGGGGCCGGGGGGGGGGGGGGCGCGCGGCATCACTGAGATACAGGGGTAGGGAGAGTGATTTCCCCAGGTGATCACTCAGACACAGGAGAAGAGGTGTCCCTAGGGGATCACAGAGACCCGGGAGAAGGGAAGAACTGTCCTAAAGATAACTGAGATGGGGGAAATGTGACCCAGGGGATCACTGAGACACAGGGGCAGGGCGAGAGAGTGACCCAGGAGATCACTGAGACACAGGGGCGGGGGAGAGAGTGACCCAGGAGATCACTGAGATGCAGGGGAGGGGTGGAGTGACCCAGGGGATCACTGAGATATAGGGGCAGGGGCAGAGAGTGACCCAGGGGATCACTGAGACATAGGGGCAGGGGGAGAGAGTGACCTGGGGATCACTGAGACACGAGGTGGGGGGGCGGTGTAGAGACTGACCCAGGGGATCACTGAAACACAGAGGGAGGGGGAGAGACTGACCCAGAAAATCACTGAGACACAGGGGGAGGGGAGGGAGTGACCCAGGAGATCACTGAGACACAGGGGGAGGGGACAGGGTTACCCAGGGGCAGGGGTTTACTGAGATCCAATTTCATGGGAGTGTTACAGAAACATTAGGATGTCATAAGCCAGAGGCAGAAGGTGGCAGTTTCCAGGTGGATGCCTGTAGCGAAATACATGTGAAGCAAAAACAACACTGGGATCAACACAACATGGGCAAGACTCCCACCCATTCAATTTTGTTTCAGTAATGCACCATGATGATGTAAGACATTTACTTCTCATGCAATTATAATAATCCTTCAATAATTACATAGCTTCATGCTTGCTGCAATGATGAGCAATTAACATTACTCAAAAGTTAACCGATAAAATTCTAGCAGGACTAGATGGTAAACACAGGAATGATGTTTCCAGGTAGTCCAGAACCAGTCAAAAGATATGGGGTAGGCCATTCAGGACTGAGATTAGGAAAAATATCTTCACCAGCAATGTTGAGCCAATGGAATTCTCTGCTCCAGAAAGCATATTTTCAAGGAGTTAGATATAAATTTTAGGGCTAAATGGATCAAATGGTATGCCTTTGATGCCCACATCCCATGAGTGAATAAACTCCTCACCCACCTACAAGGAGAAGATTCTAACCTTGGCCACCCCAACTGGGTGAATGACCATGCCCAAGCATTTTTCTGTTCCTCTCTCTCACTGTCTATCTGATTCATAACAATATTTTCTGATTTTTATCTCTCCCCGTCTCATTATCGACCTGTTTCTCTCATTATTTCTTTGGTCCTCTTTTCTATTTCCCTGAATCCTTCTGTTTTTCAGTCTTGGTGTTTCCTCACCGTGTCTGACTTTTTCATTGTATTGCTCTGACTCTCTCCATATCTCTCTTTCCTTTGTTGCTCTAAACCTTGATTATCTGCCTATCTCTAATATTCTCTATTTCTGTCTCAAATCTATGATGCTCCCCCTTTATCTCGCTTCCCTGCTCATTAGTCTTTTTCTCTCTTTCACGCTCAGTCTCACATTCTGATTTCCCCATACACTATGTCTTTCAGGGGTATTTTCAATCTGTTTCTGCTTTGTGTATGATTGTAAACACTGGACTAGAATTCTGATCCTGTCAATGCCTTGATAATTTGCAAAATAAAAATGCTATTCATCAAATGTATGTGTGCTTTGGCCTGAGATTGCAATTCAATTAGCTTCTGTCTTGCTGCCCCTCATGTGAATTCTCAATTCCCGACAGTCAGTCCAGGAATGGAACCCAAAAAGATCTTCATGAGGAACAAAATGATCAGTGGATTCTAACCATGGGGACTTTTAGAGTCCCAGAAAGCAGCGGTTCTCAGCACCTTCAAGGGATCATTGTGTTAATGAGACTTGAAAAATGAATATACTGGAAGGTTCAAAATGGCAAAATTGATTGTTGCAATGCTCTTCTGGCCTCCAACCTTCCACCTTCCATAAACTTCAGCTCATTCAAAGCTTTGCAATATCACAGCTTATACCAATTTCCACTTGGCCATCCCCCAGTGTCAGTGGCAGATGGTAGCGTGGTGGTAATGTTATTGGACTAGTGGTCTGGAACTTAACATTCCAGAGACTGGAGTTCAAATCCCACCATGTCAGTTGGTGAAATTTAAATTTAGAGAATAAACATAAGTTTATTAGATAACTATCTTGGATAACTATCATCCCACCTGTTCACTAATGTCCTTTGTCAAGGAAATCTTCTGCCCTTATCTGATTTTGACTAAATATGAATTCAAACTTACCAATGTAGTTAGCTCTGAGTTGCTCTTTGAAATGGCCTAGTAAGGCAGTGAGTTCAAGGGCAATCAGCAATACCGTACAAATGCTGGCCTTACCACACACCCCAGTAATAAAAGAGCTAAATCTCAATCTCAATCCCTCCATGCTTTGAGGAACTGGCCCCTAAAGTCAGGAATTCCTTCCCTAAACCTCTGTGCTATTTCACCCTTCTGTGTACTTCTAGTCACTCCTTAAAATCTTCCTTCCTGACCAAGTCCTAATACCACCTCATTTGACTCAGTGTCAAATTACGTTTGATAATCATTCCTGTAAAAGACTTCAGAACAAGCCACCACATTAAAGATGAGACCCAGTTTGCTGTTCATGAATACTTCACTTGGCTGCTTGGTGACATTACTGCTGATGCATGTCAAGGGTTCCCCCTAGTCATATAAGGTAATGGTTCTGAAAAAGTTAATGTTGAAGATGCATCAAGCACCACCCAGTCTGATACTCTTTGGATGGAGCATCAGGCAATCTTGTACGTAATGCTGATGCAGTCAGACATAATGTGCCTGGTGTTTGATAGGACTTGTACCTAACTAGTCAATGTAACTTGCACTTGTTGTTATCATTGCAATAAACTGGCTCTTGTTATGTAAGGCAAGTATCTCTTTTTGTTAAGAAGACAAAAAGTCATAACAAATTATACAAATTTATTGTGTACATTGAATAGGGTGGCAGGGTGGCATGGTGGCTTAGTGGTTAGCACATTGCCTCACAGTGCCAGGGACCTGGTTTTGATTCCATCCTTGGGTGACTGGCTGTGTGGAGTTTGTACATTCCTCCCATTTCTGCCTGGGTTTCCACTAAGGTGCTCCAGTTTCCTCCCACAGTCCAAAGATATGCAGGTTAGGTGGACTAACCACGCTAAGTTATCCTGTAGTGTCCAGGGATGTGTGGACTAGATGGATTAGCCCTGGTAAATGTAGGGTTACAGGTATAGGGTGGGGGGTGGGTCTGGGTGGGATGCTGTTTGGAGGGTTGATGCAGACTCAATTGGCTGAACGGCCTCTTTCTGCACTGTAGACATTGTTATTTAGAAAATAACAATGATCTGATAGCCACTACGGGGATGTGACAGCAGGATGACAAGGATTGCAAAAGAGAAACTTTTCTCTATTCACCATGTTCCACTCTGAGGCACCTCACTACAAATGCAATATATATTGCTGTGAATATTGCATTTTTCAGTCAGGTTTTGAGGACACCACTTTGAGGAGGAGTCTGTTAAGTCAGTGTCAAACTTGGCATCACAGTTCCCCTCTAATCCTATTTTTCTGTGTTTTTAATTAACTCCCTAAATTAAAGATCCTCCCCAAAATCTTTTTCTTGCAACTACAGTCAGCAGTTTTAATGACCAATATATAAACAACACAAGTAAGTTGTGACATAAATATTGTTTTAATTTTTAAAATATCAACATTTGAAAAGGTGTTTAAATGTACAGTACACTATACACAAGAACCTTTTACTATGCACATCCATTGCACTCAAAATGCAACTGCTACTTAAGTTAATTGTTAATTTACAATTTGTTTCAAGTATTACTCAAGTGAAAGAGTTTAGTGCATTGCTTGGAAATGCCATCAATAATGAAAGTGAATTTTTTCTTTTTCCTCCAGAATGTTTGGGGGAGTCTCGCAGTTTCTATAAATTCCATCCACCCTAACCCCAGCCAATCCCACCTAGATCTACTGATTAGAATCAGAGAACTTTTGAGCTCTGTTTCAAAGTAAGTGAAAATTTCTTGAGTGAAGCCGCCGGTGGGTGCTTTCCCCTAGAATTTATTTGGAAAAGTAAATGGTGGGGAGGGGAGGTGAAAATTAAAGTCTTCACAGAATCACAGATGCAGCCACTAAACCCAGTCTCTGGGGGAGGGGCCAACACTTAAATCAAAACAGTCTGCAGTGAGCTCCAATGTTAAAACAGTTACACAGTGCATGTGTATATGTGCCTATATCAAAAGACAGACACACATACACATACACACACACACACAAACACACATACACACAGACATAGATATATATCCAGCATGTTTACAAAATCTTTTAAAATTGATTAACTTTGGATGTACACATGATGGAAGCAAATTGTAAACAACACATAAAATCATTGTTCGTGAAGTTTTGTCACAATACAGTTCTAATTTCTAGGCTTCAACGTAACCATTATCTTTGGTGGTACATCAACAACTCAACTTATATTTAGATAACACGTCTAACGTCCTAAAATGCCCCAAGGCACTTCACAAGAGCATTATAAAACAAAGTGTGACACCAATCCACATATGGCAATGTTAAAAATAAAAACAAAGTGCTGGAGAAACTCAGCAGATCTGGCAGTATCTTTGGAGAGAGTTATAGAATTAACGTTTTAAGGCTGATATGACTCTGCTTTGTAACAGGAGATGTTAGGTCGGGTGACCAAAAGGGAGGCAGCTTTTAAGCAGTAAAGTGAGGTAGAGAGATTTAGGCAGGAAATTTCATAACTTAGCACCCTGGTGACTGAAAGCAATTAAAATCCAACTCAGTGCTCAAGATTTGAGAACTGGAGGAGTGCAGTGATCTGAGAGGGGTGTGCAGCTAGAGGAAATTACAGAAAAAGGGAGGAATTTGAGAAGAAGGGTGAACACTTTAAAATTGCTTGATCAGGAGCCTAAGCAAATCAGAAGGCCTTTGGGAAACAAGACTTGCCATGAGTTATGACACAGGCTGCAGACTTCCGAACGACCTCAGGTTTCTAGAGGGTAGAATTTGAGAGACCCGCCAGGAGTGCATTGGAATGGTAAAGGTGAGAGGTCACTAAGGCCTGAATGAGGTGAGGGTTTCAGCAGCGGATGAGTTGAGACAGGGGTGGTATCCAGGAGGTGGAAATAGGCATCCTTTGAGAAGATGCCTCATTCCAATCCAAATAGTTTTCCAATCCAACTCACTGAACATGTTTTCTGGTTATTGTAGAGCAATTTCATGAATTATATCAGTGCTGCTGGATCCTAAATATTTGAACTGTATTGAGTCAAAACGCTTGAAATTAAGTTCAACAATAACTCTATAAACATCCTGTATGATATATGCATATGTACATATACATACATATAAATATTGCATATACATAATACAAATGTGTTTTTTCCCTTCCCAGTAGTTTGAAGTGTTCACTCTGCACAGCTCTTGGGGAATGTGTCTGCTGGTGAAAGTTCCACGACTGCTGTCTGTGTCTAGTAAGGAGGTACCAGGAGACAATTTGGAGTACCTTTCATCTCCTGCTATTCTCATTACCAGCAGCAATGTGTCACACTTGCTTGAGAAACTGAATTTCTAATTAAAGGGTGTTTATTTCACAGGGATGGGGAAAGTGAGGGGCTTTGTGTGGCAGACTCAAGCAACTAAGCAATGCTAAAACTTGAGATCTGCAAACCAGTAACCAAATAAAATCCTCCACACATGATGCAACAACTTTTCCGTGCCCATAACGAGAGTGAGGCATTCCTATGACCACACTGACCGCGCAGCCCACAAAGTCTGCTGGTCCCTGTTGGAGGGTGCGACTTATACCTTTGATCTGTGAGGCTAGAGGTAGTCAACAGGAGACCCCATCTATCTCTCGGCATCAGCCACACGCATTCCTGCCCCTCAGTGGGGAAAACTTGGCCGATCAACAGTGGTCAGTCAATTAGAAGGGCCACTGCTCTTGTTGGTTGAGACGTTGGGTTGGGGTATTTGGTGGGTGGGCCCACTGGCTTTCCAGTTCTACTTAACAATGTGCACTGATGAGGTGGCACAATGCTGTAGATTCCAGTGACCCCTTCCCCTCACTCCCACTGCAGGATAGGCCCTTAAAGGTATGGTTCCACACAACATTTTTTTGGCAAAAGGTTTTTATTTTGAGGAACAGGCATCTTTAAGGCTAATGATCCTCGCTAAATTCTAGCACAGATGCTAGAGGAACTGACACTTTCTACAAACCAGGCATTTTGTGATCAGTCTGTGAATTTGTAGCAAATAAATAGTTCAGAAATATATATAGGAGTGGAGCAAATCACAGAGAATGGGAAAGTTGCTTGATTATTTGCTTCAAAAGGTGCAATTTTCCCTTCCTTGAAACCAGACAGAAAGGATATAATTGGGCCAGTTGGCCATGGAAAAATACCCCATTCTCACCATCCCACTCATTAAGTTTTGGGTGAGAAGGTCCATCGGTCAATTAATGGACACTTGAGGGCCTCAACTTATCACCTCCTGGACTTAAGGTTTTGGAGTGCAGTGGTGGAGTTTCTACCTCTGACTGTCAAGACCGACCTGCTCTAGAGGTGTGTCACAATGTGTTTGAACAGGTTGATGAGAAATATCTGCCACCTGCTCTATCACCTGCTTTGGTTGTGGGCGGGAAAGGTGCCTTGTTTCGTGACTAGATGTGGGGTTAGAAAGGAGGGACCTCCAATTTCCCCAATAGAGGGTCAATTGGAAACCTCCAGAAGGAAAATCCAATCAGAATTGGCAAACGAGCCACACTAGTCTGACTCGCCGTTTGGACTTCAAAATAGATCAAAGTGTTCATTTCAAAACATGACTATTTCTCAAATTGGTTTTCCCTTTGGGATGGACAAGGTTGGGTGTCTGATATCCCCTGGCCTTGACCATGACCCCACACCCCAATTTCCACAATAAGAAGATAACTAACAGTCCCCCGTAGAGTAGGCCTCGACTGGTAGTCCTTAGGACAGGAAGCTGAATGGCTGGCGGCTTCTGGCAACCTGAGACACCAGGCGGGCAACAAGTCAAGTTGCACAACGGTGGGGTGCTATGTTAGTGGCCACCTAACAGGCCTACCTACACACTTTAAAACAAAGTTAGAAAATCGGACCCTGATAAGCTTTTCTTTTAAAGTCTACAATCTCTTTCAGTTTTTGGGGTTGGGGGTGAATATAGTTTATTTCTTCTTCCCAGCCTTTATTTTCTTTCTCGTGAGGAGAGAGGCTGGTATATCTGTTGTTAAATTTAGCCGAAACAAAGCATATTTATTTTTTAAAATTCATTCACAGGATGTGGACATCACTGAACTAGGCTGGCAGTTTTTTTTCCTATAAGGAACTGCGGATGCTGTAAATCAGAGACAAAAATAGAAATTGCTGGAAAAGCTGAGCAGGTCTGGCAGCATCTGTGGAGAGAAATCAGAGTTAATGTTTGGGTTTGAATGACCCTTCCTCAGAACTGGGAGCGGTCTGAGGAAGGGTCACTCGACCCAAAATGTTACCTCTGATTTCTCTCCACAGGTGCAGCCAGACCTACTGAGTTTTTCCAGCAATTTCTATTTTTGTCTCTTTCCCCCCCACCGCATCCCTAAATTCTAGAGGACAATTAAAAGCCAATCACATTGCTGTAGGCTTGAGTCACTAAAGGCTAGACCAGGTGAAGATGGCAGATTCCTTCCCCAGGAGATATTATTGATTTTTACTTTATGCCTGGTTCCTTCCCCCACACACCCTCCACTCCTTTAAGAGGCAGTAGATGTGGACTGTGCGTGTCTAGGTTGTGTGGTGCAAGTTGGGTGAGAGCCGGAGGTGAAGGAGATCGTGCAGGATTTCTCCCCTTACTTCTTTTCCGCCAATCTGTGCATTTGGAGCTTCCTGCACCTGCCGAAAAGGGAGATTAGGCTCCTCCGCCGACGTTTGCCGTAGCCATTAGGGTCATCTGTACTTTTTGGGGGACTTGGCTCCTTTCCTTTAGGTCCCAGCTGGTAGAGTCTATAGGCCAGGTTTAGAGTGTTGCAGATGCCCAGGAAGCAGCGGGAGGGCTTGTATTTGTTGTCGGGGCCACGTTTAACTCTACCTTTTGGCACTGTGCTGGAATTCAAACCAAACCAAAACAAAAAACAGTCTGTTAGTTACCAATCATGAATTCCAGTTGGACAAGAGGCCATTCATCCCATTGTGCTTCTGCTGATCCTTTTGAAAGAGCTTCCCAGTTTACTAAGCTAAGCTCTGCAATCCGTCCTGTCTCTCTTTCTTCTTTTAAGATTCTTCCTAAGACATCCCTTTCTGATAAAACCTTTGCTCCTAATATCTTATGAGAGCTGTCAAACTATTAACTGGTAATCAACCTTGTAAAATACCTTAGGATATTTTACTCCATGAAATGTGCTACATAAATGCAACCTGTTACGCCTGTCCTTTTCCACTGATCCCCCCATAGCCATAGAGTTATAGAAATGTACAGCACAGAAACAGATCCTTCAGTCCAACTCACCCATGCCAACCAGATATCCTAAATTAATCTAGTCCCATTTGCCAGCATTTGGCCCGTATCCTTCTAAATCCTTCCTATTCATGTACCCATTCCAGAAGCCTTTTAAATGTTGTAATTGCACCAGCCTTCCCCACCTCCTCTGGCAGCTCATTTCATACATGCACCACCCTCTGCATGAAAAAGTTGCCACTTTGGTCCCTTTTAAATACTTGCCCCTCTCACCTTAAACCTACGCCCTCTAGTTTTGGACTCCCCTAACCTGGGGAAAAGTCTTTGGATATTCACCCTGTCAATGCCTCCCATGATTTTATAATTTCTATAAGGTCACCCCTCAGCCTCTGACACTCCTCAAGATTGTTTCCCTGGTATTGCTGAAAAGAGAGATGTGTTGCCTAAATGCTTGATCATTTGCTCATCGGAACAAATGCAAGAATGCCAAATGTCAAATAATCACAACTTACACTCGTCGAGTAAAAGATGCCAATTCATTGGCAGTTGAACTATGATTGGCCAAAGCATTGTCACGGAGAAAGCAACAGCAAATTATATTTCTTCCTATGCCGCCAGGAAATTTAAAAAAAAAGGCAAGGCTTGCAACACACTCCTTTAGTTTGTGAATTATTTCATATGTAGGGACCCACACTCTGTAAACAGCAGGCTGTTTGACTGTGATGGCCTCACACCTGTTAACATTCTGATTTAGTGCCAATTGTCTAGGCAGGGTAACCAGTGACCAAAGTCGGGTAGGAGTGTGGGCCCATCAGGGAATCAGGTGCAGGGTCTTCTCCCTTCCACAGTTGAACACCACACTTATACTCACAAAACTAAGAAGGGAGCTCTACAGGGTAGCTCCCCTGGCACATTAATAACAGCATGTTCTAAGTCCACAGCCTCTACCACAGAGAAAGAAAGGGCAGCAGATACATGGGAATACAGCACCTGCAATGTCCCTTTAAAGCCATACACCATCCTGACTCGGAAATATATTGCTGTTCCTTCAATCTAGTTAGGTCAAAATTCTGAATCTCCTTCCCTGACAGCAATGAGGGCTTGCCTGTACACCACAGATTCAAGTGGTTCAAGAAGGTGGCTCACCACTGCTTTCTCAAAGGGGGAATAGGGATGGCTAACAAATTTTGGCACGGCCTGCGATCCCCACATCCGCCAAATGAATATTAAAGAACGACAAAATACCTGTCATTGATGCTTCCCTCGCTGTTCTCCGATTTAGAATTCAGGAAACCTGTAGCAGAGTCAGATGCGGAGGTGATTTGGGATTGCGGCACCCTCTTTACCTGTGGCTCCAAAAGCTTCACGTTGGAATTCTGCAGCTTTTGAAGAAATAACTGGAAAGCAGGTGAGGGAGCTGGGTTCCTGGGGAGGGACAAAGAAACACAGGAGCAGGTTAAATTAGAAACCCCTAACAGACTCAGCAAAAAACATATATTGATATGGCATCTTTAATGTGATGAAACATTTGCAGGAGCAAAATGTGACAATGAGACATATAAGGTTTGGCCTCATCACCAAAAGCTTGGTCCGAGAGGCAGGGTTTATGGAGGATCTTAAAGGGGGACGCAGAGGCTGAGACGTAGGGAGGAACTTCCAGAGTTTCATCCTCTGCACATGGAAGCATTGCCACCAATGCTGGAGCAATTAATATCAGGTTTACACAAGACATCAGAATTAGAGGAAGTGAAGATACCTCAGAGGGTTGTGGGTCTGGAGGAGATTAGAGATGGGGTGGGGAGGGGGTGAGGTTATGGATGGATTTGAAAACAAGAAGAAGAATTTTAAGATTAAGACAATGCTTAACGAGGAGTCATTTTAAGTCAAAATGACTCAATGTGCTTACATCACTTTCGTAGAGATTTGTACAAGCTGACAGTTCTTAAATTAACCTGATGTATGTTGAGCTGTATAAATGAGTGATTCCTGGTAAATCTCGCATTGTGAGGTTAACTCTCTTCTCCTTTAATTCACTCCATAAAGCCTCCCTTACTAATCAAACTCACCAGGTCCTGATATCCGGGGCCCCAGTGTTAAATTTTTGACTGATACAGTTCCTGTGCTGTGCCGTGCTATGTTTTTAATTGTGTTAAAAGGCAACGAAATGCCAGTTGTAGTAGTTTGGAAGTACAACAGCAAGGAATAGAAAGTGTGGCAATCTCTTACCTTTTGGTTCTGGCCAGCTCCTGTGATTCGACGAGGACGCCCATGTGGAAGTATAACATTGCGATGAGCACAAACACCACTGTCATGGTCTCCCGATCTGAAAATCCACACACGTTGCAAAATTAATCAAACGTTGAGTCACTGCTTGGTTCGTGTTCCCTAGCAGCCGATTGGTAACAGATGAAATCAGTCTGTTCACAATCTTGCTGACTTCGAGATGAGCTTTCGTCCTCTGGTCAAGGAACAGGGGACTGAGTTGGATGATCAGCCATGATCATGTTGAGAGACAGGGCAGGCTTGAAGGGCCAAATGGTCCACTCCTGCTCCTGTTTTCTATATTTCTACATCCTCAGATTTGCACCGCCACTAAAACCTTTTGTTTTACCTGTGAAACACCGCCTGCCCTGATCCCTGTTTCACTCATCTGCTGTTTAAATCTTCTTTCATGGTGTTGTTACATTCAGCCTTGATAATCCTCCTGGAAGGTCTCCCATATTCTATTCTCTCCAAATCTCTGCTGCTAGTCTTTGAGTCTGCAACAAATCCTGTTTCCCCTATCTCCCACCCTGTGCTCACTAGATGACACTGGCTTCCAGTAAAGCAACACCCAGTTTTTAAAATTCTCAAACTTGTGTTCAAGCCCTTGCTTGGCTTAACCACCACTATCCCCCTCATCTTTCCCCATCTTTGTAACTTTCCTTCTTCCTGCATCCCTCTGTGATATCTGCTCTCCTTGAATACTGACCTTGATTGTGAGCACCCCCAACTGCTTCAGTTGTATCAAAGCTTGGAGTGCTGTGAGCAGTTTGGGTCTCCTTATCTCGGGAAGGATATTATTGTCAAAGAGGAATCACAATGAGAGTTCACCAGATTTATTCCTGGGAGGGTGGGACTGTCCTTGGAAGAGAGATTGGACAAACTGGGCCTGTATTTGGGTATTTCAAAGAAAGCAAGGGGCTTTCACTGAAACCTCCAAAATGCTCAAAGTGACAGACAGGATAGATGTTTCCCCTGGTTGGAAAATCTAGAACCATGGGACACAATTTAAACATAAGGGGGTGCCACTTACTGAGATGAGGAGAAAGTGTTTTTACTCAACGTGTCGCAAACCTTTGGAATTCTCTACCACAGCAGGTTGTGGAAGTTGAGTCTTTGAGCCTGTTTAAGGTAGAGATTGACAAATTTCTCATCATTACCGGTGGTATACAGGGTTATAGGGGTGGGTGGGGAAAAGACATTCAAGTGTTCAATCAACCATGATTGTACTAAATGGCAGAGCAAGCTGAATGACCTACTCCTGTTCCTGTGTACAATCATTCGACTGTAGGCTTTGAGTTGTTGAGGCTTCATGCTCTCGAATTCCCTCGCTGCTCATCTCTGCCTCTGTAGTTCTTATTCCCCTTCTAAAGAGGCTCTGAAAGCTCAACTTTGACTAAGCTTTTGGTCATCTGACCTAATACCTCCTTATATGGCTCATGATTCATTTTATCCTCCTGTGAAGCACCTTCGGGCATTTCATTATGCGAAAGGTGCTCTATAAATATAAATCATCATCATTGTTAACCACATTGTTAACTATTGTAGCCAATAGTTAAGGGACCAACACCACACTGTCACCTCCATCCCCAACACTTTGCCAAGAGAGGGAAGCTTTCCACTGCTGACTTGAGAGCCTGCAAGTCTCAGAGTTACGTTATGGCTGCTTGTGACCACTTAGACAATTTACTGACTCCAGTTTGAAAGGTTTCAAGTAACCCTCTCCCCACCTCTAGAACACAGCTCAGTTAAACTATGATGAGACTGCCAGCTTGCGTAATACAATGTCAGGACTGTGTCCATTGGCAACACCCATTGTGCAACAGACTAAAACACCACGGCAAATCATAAAATCGTAAAGTTTTAATTTAAACGGAGGTTTGGGGATTGACTGCAATTCATTTTGCCTTCCATTTCACCTCCTCACCCACTCCATCTTGAGTACATAATGCAGGCTAACATGACCAGCGTAGGACTGAGTGAGTGCTACACTGGTGGGGGTGCATTGTTCAGGTGAGCTGTTAAACTGAGGCCCTAACTTCCCTCTCATATTAACATAAAAATCCTGCTGCCACAATTTTGAAGAGGATCTGTGGAAGTACACCCCACAGCTTTAGCAAATATTATCCCTCAATCAACATCACCCTTCCAAAATCCACAACCTCTACCACTTAGAAGGACAAGGGCCACAGATGCATGGGAACACCACCACCTACATGTTCCCCTCCTATCCGAACACCTGACTTGGATATGTATTGATCTTCCTTCAGTGTCGCTGGAGTCAAGATCCTGGTGCTCCCTCCCTCACCGTGGGAATCCCTATAAAACCCAAGGACTGCAACAGTTTTTAAAAAGTAGCTGATTTTCTCCAGGGAAGTTAGAGATGGTGCATAAACAATGGCAATGCCCACATCCCATGTTTTTTTTAAAATCACGAAAAACACATGATTGGTTTAGTATCATGTTGCTGTTTGTGGGATCTTGCTGTGCTCCAATTGGCTACATTGTCATAAGGTATAGAAGCACAATTAGGTCATTCAGCCCATTGAGCTTGCTCCAACATTCGATCATGGCTGATATGTTTCTCAACCTCACTCTCCTGCCTTCTTCCTCTCAACCTTTGATCCCTGCAACAGTGACAGTACTTCAAAAAGTGAAGCACTTTAGAAAGTCTCCAAGGCTGCTCTATAACTGCTCATTTGATGTTTTTTCTTCTGTCCTGCTGACACTGACGGCTCTCCAGCATCCATCTTCACTCAAACCCTTCCATAAAAAAGGGCATTTGCTGGTCATAAGCAAGAAAATGGGTATCAACATCTACTTCAACTGAGCAGCTACGATACTCTCTTGACATTGCACAAGTACTTTCAGGCAATGAACACCAGATGGCAGAGAAGAGCAGTCAGCACAACTGAGAGAGGGAGACAGTGATATAGATAATCAACAGGTAAAAGTTATGAATGACCTGCACTTTCATTGTGACTTTCATGGCCATTTGTCTTCCTAAAGTGCTTCACACCCAATGAAGTACTTTTAAAGTATTATCATTCAGTAAACACAACAGCTAGGCTTGGGAATAGCAGATCCCATCAACATCCACAGGATTATGAGACATGGAATCATATATATTCCGCCTGAGAGTGTATAAGGGGACCTTAGTTTAAATCTTATTTGAAGGAGGTTAGATAAGTGGCAGATGAAAATAGGCAATAGCCAGGGAGAAACAAGCAACACAAATTGAAGTAGATAATGCAAGCAAATGACAGACATGCAGATGATGGACTATACCCATTCTGCCTTAATACCTCTAAATCTTGCACAAGCAAAGATGTTCTTGGAACCACAATGCTACACTGTAACCATTGGAGGGAGCCACTGAACAGTATAGAAAGACCTTAGGGTTCTCCTGGTGTAGTGGTAGTGTCTCTACCTGTAGGTCAGGAATACCAGGTTCAAGCTTCACCTGCTCTAGAGGATTATCATTACATTTCTGAAAAGGTCGACTTAACACTATCTAGAATGACAGTCTGAAACAAAAATGCTGGAGAAACTCAGCAGGTCTGGCAGCAATTGTGGACAGCAAAACAGAGTTAACATTTCAAGTCCAGTATGACTGTTGTTCAAAACTAGAATGACTGCTTGCGCTGCCTGACATGGAATATGGATTCTCAATGCAGTGAACATTCACAACGTGTTTTACGCTCAGTGATTGCTGAATGTGCAAAGTATTCACCTCCAATGTCAATAGTACTTCTCTGGCAACTGAGCACACACAGCACGTATTTCGCTACTAAATTTTCAAGGATCTAGCAGGCAACCGGCATAGATATTGGAAATGTTTAACCCATCATACGAGGAGAGTGGAGGCTGGAGTTAACACACATTGATGGATACAGAGTAGAGGAAGCTTTATTCCATACTTAACCATGTGCTGTCCCTGTCCTGGGAGTATTTGATGGGAACAGTGTATAGAGAGCTTTGTTCTGTATCTGACCCTATGCTGTACCTATCTTGAAAATGTTTGATGAGGACAGTGTAGAGAGAGCTTTATTCCATGTCTAACACTATGCTGTATCTGTCTTGGAAGTGTTTGATGGGGGCGGTATAGATGGAGCTTTATGCTGTGTTTAACCCAGCGCTGTCCCTGTCCCGGGAGTTTTTGACGGGGACCGTGCCAAGGGAACTTTGAGTTTAAAAGATTCAAAAGAGCTTTACTTTCAATTTGCTTTTGGTTTAAAAGAGTAGAAGGAGCTTTCCTCTGTCTGTAACCCTGTGCTGCATCTATCCTGGGAGCATGATGGTAACAGTGCAGAGAGAGTCCTACTTTCAGATTAGACTAAAGAAGGCTTCACTTTTCATTTACAAGAGTAGAGGAAGATTTACACTATACCTAACCCCATACTGTCCTGGGAATGTTTGATGTAGACAGTGTAGAGGTGCTTTACTTTCAGTTCAAAACAGTAGAGGGAGTTTTGATTTCAGTTTAAAAGCATAGAGGTAACTTTCAGTTTGAAAATAGTACAGTGAGTTTTACTTTCAGTTTAAAAGAGTAAAGGAAGCTTTGTGCTGTATCTAACCCTCTGTACTCTACCTGTCCTGGAAGTGTTTGATGAGGAAAGTGTAGAGGAGGTTTTACTCTGTATCTAACCCCCATACTGTACCTGCCCTGGGAACTTTACTCTATATCTAACCATGACTTGTTTTAAAATCATAGGATCTTACAACAGAGTCCATTCCTGTATGGTACCTGTGCTGTATTGTTTGGAAAAAGTTCTCTGATTAATCTCACTTTTCCTGGCCCTGTGTTTTATTACCTTTTCAAGTGTTCAATTTCCTTTCAAAATTTACTTCTGACTCTGCTGCCACACTTGTTCAAGCAGCAGTGAGTTCAAGAAGCCTGTAATTCAGTTTCCATACTCTGCTAGCTCACTGAAAACAGGCTTTCCCCAGAAGAGATGTCTAGTTTCAGCTGAGAATGGTTAAGAAAGGTAATTTTAGTATTATGAATAATGGAGGGTGGGAATGGGTTGGGAAAAGGAACTCTCAAAGTCTTTAAATATGAAACCACCCTGTGAAACTTTGCAAACTTTGACATGTGTTCTAACTAACACGGGGAATTCCCATTAAGAAAAAGTAATAAGATGGACTAATCGTAAATAATCAGAATTAATTTCATTGTCTGCCACTGTGATCCAGAGAATCATGGTCGCATAAAAATTTTTATTTACATCTAATAGTCTCCAGAGGAATTAGATGTCAGCATTAACGTCCTACTTGAACTTTGTTGGGTTGTTTATCCATTTCTGATGAATCGTTGCTGTCATCGTAGTATCAGGTTTCATTTCACAAGGCTGAAACCTTTCCAGCTTTCTTTGGTTTTTGCACACACGGTTCGTCCCTGTTTTCTGAGGTTACAGGTTAGGTACAAAGTAAAACTGTCTGTATACTGTCCCTATCAAACACTCCAGGACAGGTACAGCACTGCTTAGGTACAGAGTAATACTCTCTCTACCCTTTTAAATGGAAAATAAAGCTCCTGATACACTGTCCCCGTCAAACACTCCCAAAACAGGTACAGCACAGGATTAGATGCAAGGTAAAGCTATCTCTACTCTTTTAAATGGAAACTAAAGCTCCTGGTAAACTGTCCCCATCAAAAACTCTCAGGACAGGTACAGCATGGGGCTAAATACACAGTAAAGCTAACTCAGAGGTAGCAAGAACTGCAGATGCTGGAGTCAGAGGTAACACAGTGTGGAGTTGGAGGAACACAGCAGGCCAGGCAGCATCAGAGGAGCAGGAAAGTTGATTTTTAGGATCGGGACCCTTCTTCAGAAATGGGGCTTTACTCTTTTAAATTGAAAGTAAAGTTTCATCTACTTTTGTGATCTGAAAGTAAAGCTCCCTCTCTTGTGTACCAATCAAACACTTCCAGGACAAGGAAGCAATGATTTAGTTACACAGTAAACGTCCATCTACTCTGTTAAAAGTGAAAATAAAGCTCCATCTACAATGTACCCATCAAATACTCCCAGGATAAGTACAACATGACGTAGATACAAAGTAGACCTACCTCTACACTGTCCCCATCAAATGCTCCCGGGGCAGATACAACATGAGGTTAGATACAGAGTCTAAACTGTCCTGATTTAGAACAGGATAGAAAAGCTTTCCATGGCCACTGTCAAAGTGGTGTCACCAATAAAGACTTTGGTACAGTTTGGGATGTAACAAAAACCGAATGAGCTTAGGTCATTGTGTATAGCTAATACATCGGCTTCAAACTTGTCATCTCTTCCTCACTGATTTATGACTGCAGCAAGCTCAAGACTAATAGAACATTGCAGGAAGAATCAATCATCAATGATGGCTGTGAGGGGCCTGACACTTGAGCTACCTGGAAAGTACTTTGAAATACAGATATCTTAATATTTATTGGTATTGTGAAAGGAGTGGCTGCTTCAAATTGATCAGCTTTAACCATCACCCAAGTTACTACTTTCTAACTTTCATTCACAGATGGTGAAAGCTAAATATTTTACTGTCTCCTGGACCTCCCAATTCCTTGATATAGTTCAAGGACTAGTTGTAACAGTCCAAGTAACCCATTGACTGAATGTGAGCCCACAGATAGCAATGGATAACTGGGCTATTCAGCCATGGGAGGCAGACCTATTACAGCCAGTTCCAATCCCATTTCTGCCTGGTAAGAGACTCTCCAGTAGGCCGGGCCATTGGACAATGATGAGGAGCAGGAAAATCCCTCAGATGAATATCCCCATCCTAATTGGGCCAGTAGACCCCCAACTTGTGTCTTTACTAACAATATTTAACCTTGATGAATGGAGAGACGTGAAAGCTTTTCATCTTATACTCATCATGAGGACTTATGCAAGAATGCCAAATTTTAAAACTGTCACAACAATTTATACTACAGGAGCAGAGAATGCTGACTGGTTGGCAAGTCGACTCTGATTGGTGGAAGTGTTCCCATACGGAACTATAGGCAGCCCAAGCTTCTGGGTAATTCCAAAACGAACTGACGCCTTAACATATCATGGATCATGAACAGAGTTCAGTTCCGATCCAGAAATCCTGCTGGATACCTTGGATGTGTGTGCATGTTAGTTGAGGACAGAATCAGTTTTGGCAGAGCCCCAACCAGGTTAACTAATCCTTCTGCTGATTTTCTTTTAACATCTAGATTTGATTATTTCAACTCTCTGCCGTCCACCTCCACCTTCCAACTTAATCCAAAACTCTGATGCCCCATTACCCTTCCAGCAACAGCTCAACTCATCCTACTTTATGAATCCTTCCATGGCGTCACTCCCTCCCTTGTCGTGCTTCCAGCCCTTGGAGATCTCTGCATCCCTCCAATTCTAGCCTTTTCCTCCACGTTCTAGATATAATTTTCTTTCCTTTATTCTTGCGTGAGATGTGGGCATCGTTGGCAAAGTTGACATTTGTTGCCATCACGAATTTCCCCTGAACTGAATGATGTGCTAGGGCCATTTCAGAGTGCTGTTAGGAGTTGACCACATTGTTGTTGGTCTGGAGTCACATGTAGGCCAGACAACAGATTTCCTTCCCTAAAGGACATAGTGAACCAATTTTGTTTTAAAACAACAATTGATAATAGTTATCACTGATGACTCAATACTAATTTAGTTTAAATTCCCACAAGCCATGTGGAATTTGATCCCATGATACTAGTTTGGCCCCTAGATTACTAGGCCAGTGACAACACCAGTACACTACCATCTCCCCAGGCATGGTGTGCATTGTTTGCGTTTGGACTACTAGTCCTGCATACAGGAATCCCTCCTCCAAGCCTCCTCTCTCCTCTCCTTTAAGATGCTCCTGAAAACCAACTTCTTTGACCAAATCTTAGGTTACTCGCCCCAATGTTTCCCTATGTGACTCAGTGTCAAGTGTTGTTTCATAACTGTGCCTCTGATGCATCCCTGGGATGTTAAAAGTGACACATCGATACTCATATTATTGCAGACACCATCAACAAGAGATAGTTGAAATGGGAATTAAAATCATGTGGGAGGGATGGAGTGCCTTTGTTGGGAAATGAATGACAAGAACTGTGAAATTTTTTGGTGATTGAAGAGTTCTGCGAATTATTGGACAGTTAAACAGCTGGAGTAACATCCTCAATAAGAGCTTACAGTTGTAGACTTGGGTGCTGAATCCCGAGTTGGCTGATGACTGATTTATTTAAATATTTCTTTTATCCAGCAGCCCCTACATCTACAAACCGATGAGGTCCGGCTTTAAGCATGCACCAGTTCATAAGACAGCTATTGGTGATTCATTAAGCTTCATATGGATAACTCAGTTTGCACAAAGCAGAATATTCTTGGCTTCAGAAACATCGGCTGTGCAGACTCTCTCAGCCAGTGCTGCCACTGTCTTCAGTGCCCCTGGGCTAGGGACGGGTTAAAAACTGAGCTCGTAGTTACTGTTTTTGATTGTAAACCAGTGAGTAATGGCTACGTGCGTGCCCATTCATGCTTTAGCTCGACAACGAGGTATTCCACAACCATGCACTGCATCCACACCTATTGCCTCCACCATCACCACCCAGTGGCTCAGTAACTTATAGCCAGATTGGACTTGGGTGCAAGATGCCTTGTAGTTGAATAGCCAGACTGCCACCAACTAAACCAGCCCGCGATACGCCAGACTAACGGTTCTGGCTTCAGTCCCTAGTGCACGTGTTCTCCTCGGTGTCATTGGGGTAACGCCAGAGCTGAACACCGTTAGACCAGCACTCACGCACATTCACAGTGCAGCTCAGGTCACTGACCTGGAGTTGGACCGTAGCTGCTGTTCCCCCTCCCTCACACACTTGGCATTGAGGCAAATTCTACTCCTACCTCGACCCCAGCTCCAGCTGAGATCATTCAGACCTGACTGGAAATTAAATTGGGGGCATATACTAATATACAAATTAGGAGCAGAAGTAGGCCATTCAGCCCCTCGAGTCTGCTGTAGCAGTCAATAAAATCACTGGTGATCTGAATTCTCCGTAGTTCAGCCTACCCCCAATAATCTTGCACTCCCTTCTCTATACCACCTCTGCCTTAAAAAGGTTCAAAGACTCTGCTTCCACCATATTTTGAGGAAGAGGATTCAAAAGATGCATGACCCACTGTGAGAAAACAAAATTCTCCTCATCTCTGTTTTAAAGGATCAACCCTTATTTTGAAACCCCTGGATTTAGATTCTCCCACAGGAAGAAACAGCCTGTCCACATCCACCCTGTCAAGACCCCACTAGGATTTTTTACATTTTCAATCAAGTGGCCTCTTACTCTAAACTCCAGAGGGTAGTCCCTGCCCTTACTACCCTCAAGCTCCATCCATAGCTGCCTGTATTGTTACCTAACAAGTCATATAGAGAAGCATCCATAAAGGGACAGTACAGTGCAAATAGTAGTGCTTGGCAACAAAGCTTTTTCCTTGATTTATTTTCATCGAAATATTTCAAGCCAGGGTAGAAGCAATTCATTCTCGATCCTGAGAGACTGCCTGATAAGAAATATATTCCTGCCTAGCAAGTGATGTATGCGAATTTTCGACAGGCAAAATTATAAGCAATTGCCCAGGTTAATGAATGCATGCTTCTGATGTGTTGGGCTACCTGATCTAATGCAGATTGGAAGCAAGGTGAGAGAATTGGCCCCTCTGAGATGGAGAACTTGAGAAAGTATAACACATGGAGGATGATTGCAGTGCATTCAAAGTTAAGTAATCGCCTAAGCCTCATAGCAAGCAGGATAGTCCATTGGAATGATTTGCATTTATCTAGCACTTTTCGCACCCACCTAATGCCTCAAAGCACTTTACAGCCAGCGAGGTACTTTGTGAAGTAAGGTAAATCACTCTAGTCCCAGAGGACCATAGATCTTATCTCTCATTAGAGAGAGAGAGAGACGACTGGTGGTGGTTTGACCTAAGGGTCACCATGCCTCAGGCAAAGGGGAGAGATTGAGACTTCATGGTAACCTCAGCCGGTGCAGTTGGAGTCAGTTGGCTGGTTTGCAATGCATCTGATACCAACGGCAGAGTTTGCGCACTGCTATCACTGCCATAACAGCCAATTTGCACACAGCAAGCTCCCACAAACTGGTGATAACGATCCAATAAACTTGTTTGTGATGTTAATTGAGGGATAAATGTCAGCTGGGACGCCAGGGGAAGGAGAACACACTTGTTCTTCTTTGAAACTGTGCCATGCAACGCTCCCTCTAAATTTTCTTGCAGCTGCACGGAGCTCTGAGGGCAATGCGTGGCTGCAGCTGCCAGAAAAAGCAGAAGCCAATGCATCAGAACACCAATTGGCAAGTGTAGAGTTTCCCAGGAGTTGCATGGCTGCACAGCTTAGAGCAGCATTGGTGGCATGGGATCTTTCCACCATAGAAGACAGAAGAGGCCTGGGTTTAACATCTCACAAGGAAAGAAATTGCATCCCCAATGACACAGCATCTTAGTAATATGCTGAAGAATCAGCCTTGATTTTTTTAACACTTACATCATGAAGTGGGATTTGAACTGAGAGCCCTGTGCCCTATCAGGATCGCTGTGCACTAAGGCACTGGATAGAACTGGTACAAATGATCAATTCCTGTATCCAGAAGCTATCATCACCTTAAGGATAAGAAGACTTTCACCTCACCACAATGTCCGGAAGTTTAGAGTTCATTCAAGCATATCAGATATTAAACTTGATACTACAAATTCTAATCTAACAGATATTTGTTTAAAATTAAATAAACATAAAGAACCTACCTGTTTTGATCTGGTGTTACTGGGACTTCAGACTGTCTGAGTTATCAGGCTGTATAATACAGTATTCCCTCACTGGTAACTGTTAGAATCACCAAGCCCTGTACTTGTCCAGCTCCTGAGAGCTGCTCAGACTCTTTACTGTCTCATGCTGTGGACTGAAGGTTTTATGTTGTTGAAAGAGGGCGGGACCTGAAAATCGCAAACACATACACACACACACACACACACACGCAAACACAGATGTAAGTAACTCACTGGCATTTCCTCTTCAAGGAATTTAAATGCATGCTGCCCTATTTGATAAGTAGTAGTAAAGGTTATTTAAAGGCTTGCTTGCATCAAACTGTTGTTTGTGACATTGCTAATTTCTTTGCTCAAAGGTATTCTTGCAAGCTGCTTTGAAGGGATACAAGCAACCCCTGTAAGTGGCTTATTGAGTGCAGAATGAGCATGCATTTATACAGCACCTTTGACAATAGCTCAAAGCACTCTACAACCAAGGAAGCATGTTTTGAAGTGAGTCACTGATGTAGGAACCAGCGCAACCAATTTGTGCACAGCAAGCTCCAACAAACAGCAATGTGATAGCGGCTTGCAACATTCACTAATTATTGCCCAGGACTCCAGGCAGTGTTCTCCTGCTTTTCCTCAGGAAAGAAAGCAGGATCTTTCCCATTCCCTGAGAGAACGGATGGATGCTCCCTTTGATGCCTCATCTAAAAGGTGGCAGTGCCTCCGCACTGCCCTCGGAGAGTCAGCCTCAGTTTTATGCTCTGGAGGATTTCTGGAAGCTGGGCTTTACTTTCAGCCTTCTGACTCAGATGCAAGTCATGCTGGTCTCTGAGGTTGAATTAGTCCAGCACCTAGTACAGAGCCAGATATAAATACAGATATGAAAGCTGCAAGTATATTACCAGCTCTGTGCTCAGGTGGCTGTTGGCATCCCCATATAGTGGCTTGAGATATGACACAGAGTCTCCCTGGGCTTGGGAGGCAGGGTTTCTACTCAGGATCAGTGAATGAACCGAGCTAAGATGCTGACCACAGTTGAATATCATGTGGACATGTCTGGGTCTCTGCACATTCATTTGAGTGACACATTGACATTTGACTGGCACAGACCTGACCCAACGAGCACGTGCTGTCACATTTGATAAAGAAAAACACACGCCGCCTCTTTAAAAGTCACAATCGTTGCTGTACAAAAAAGTGACCAACAGAGGTCAGCACTGGGAGAGTGAGGGGCAGTGAGGGAGTGCATTACTCGAATGTCTTTCTGTGGCATTGTAATTCCAGACATGAGGGTTTCACAGCTGGTAAAGGGAAAGAGGTGGAACTCCTGCCAAAATCGAGCAAATTTTCTCAGTTTTTGGAATACACTTAAAGTGATTCATTATTTCTTTAAATAGTCACAAAGAAAAATAACAGTAAGAACTTTAATTGATAAGACCATAAGAAATTAGAGCAGAAGGAGGCCATTTGGTCTGTTGAGGATGACCTGGTCTGCCCCCATGAGCTTCCATAGATTCAGTGATGAGTTTCTTACCTTCAACAGGGTATTTGTTGAATAATACTTGAACTCTAGTGGTTCAGCTACAAGTAAATGACAGTTGGATTCCCTGAAGTTGAGAAGGTTAACAAATCATAGAATCCTTACAGTATGGAAGCAGATCATTTAGCCCATACCAAACCTCCAAAGAACATCCCACCCAGGCCCTACCCTATCCCTGCATTTCCTATGGCTAATCCACCTAGTCTGCCAATCCCTGGACACTATGGGCAATTTAGCTAGCATAGCTAATCCATCTAACCTGCACATTTTTGGGCTGTGGGAGGAAATCCACACAGACAAAGAAAGTGCAAACTCCACACAGACGTTCACCTGAAGGTGGAATCAAAGCCAGGTCCTTAGCACTGTAAGGCAGCAGTGCTAACCACTGAGCTACTGTAATTTGATTGAAGTTTGTAAAGCATTAAGAGGACCAGATAGGGTAGATTGGGAGAAAATATTTCTGCCGGATGAGGAATCTCAGACTGTGGCAAATTGTCCAAAAATTAGAGCCAGACTTTTCAGGAGCCAAGTTAAGAAACACTTTGCCAGAATGAATAACCAAATAGTTACAGTGCGGAAAAGGGCCATTCAACCCAACTGGAATGCCCCATTTCTCCAAATGAGCGATTCTCCTAGAGTCAATTCTACTGCCTTCTCCCCCATAACCCTGCATGCCCTTCCTTTTCAGATAATAACCAGCTCCTGTTTGAAAGCCTCAGTTGGACCTGCCTCCTCCACACTCTCAAGCAGGGCATTCAAGGTCCCAACCATTTGCAGTGAGAACAAGTTTCTCCTCATGTCTCCATTGCTACTTTCGGCAATTATCTTCAATCTTCTCATTCTCAATCTTTCCACCAATAGGAACAGTTTCTCACTATCTGTTTTGTTCACAAGCCCCATGATTCAAATCCTCTAGTAAATCCAGTTCAAAACAGGGTGGATGTTTGAATCTCTCTTAGTGTCAGTTGACACTCAATCAATGTTTAGTTTTCAAACTGAGATGGGTATTTTGTTAACCAAAGATATTAAGAGATTTGGGGCACAGGTATATGGACTCAGGCCACAGATTGGCTCTGATCTTATCGAATGGCAGAACAGTCTCAATGGGGTGCATGGCCCCCTTATATTCCTATGTTCCGAATATGCCTAAAATTTTCCAAAAAGCCAAAGGATGAATCCATAACTTGGAGGTAACTGAGTGCTGAGACAAATCTGAACAAACCTTACATTAACCCTGTCTGTCCCTGAAAATCGAGCATTGCCCCCACTCCCTGCTGCTCACCACAGCTTAATGACATTATGATCATATTTTTAACATGGGGATCAGGACAGAGCTCTATCTGCTAGGACCACATTCCCAATATCCACATCCATACAAGGAAGCTCATCTGGGAATGCAACAACAATTCATATTGATATAGTGTCCTTAACATAACAAGGTATTCCCAAAGGTGCTTCATCAGCATGTGATTAAAAAAAAAGGATTACCAAGGCAAAGAAGTTTGGACGAGTGACTGAGCAGTTGAACTGGTCAGATCTGGTATGGTGCTAGTTTCTAAAGAGTATGTATATCCTTTCTAAACTTTCTGAAAGATAGGTTATGTCTGACTAACCTAATTGAGTTTTTTCGGAAGTACATTAATTTGCTTGAAAAAAGAGTGTCCAAGGGTGTTTCTTTATTTTGATTTCCAGAGGCCATTCAAATGGTTGAACCCAACAGATAGTATTCCATCTCCAAGCCCAAAGCTCTGGGTTCAGTCCCATTCCAGGAGTTGATGGCCAAGGAAAGTGTGAGGTGGAGATTACACAGAAATAGTGGGAGTGTGAGACCATGGAGGGCAAGGATAATTACTTCTAGACTGAGATAATGTAGGTCAGCAAGCACAAAGGTGGTGGACTAATGGGACTTGGTGTGAGTTACAATGTGGGTAGCAGAATTTGGGTGAACTCAGTAGACAACAGCTAACATTGGTTGCAGGGAAAGTGTTGAAACAATATTGAGGGATCCAGTGGTGGAAAGTCAGAACTTGTTAAGTAGTTGTTGGGATGCATTCAGGAAAAGCATTCACGTTTAATTAACCTGCTGGGGATTTTCCCAGAGGTGTTACTGGAATGATAGCTGATGTAATACTGATGAAATGTACAGTAATGGTTTATCAGAAATCCTTTGATGTCTATGCTTCATGACAGAGAAGTGAGATTATAAAAAGACCCCTATCATGGCACTGTCATTATAGTTGGCTTAAAAACTGGATCAAAAGAGATTTGCTGGAAAGAGAGACATGCTGCTGGAATTTTTCACTTTGCACTCATCAAGATAAATGCACGATTGCCAAATTTCAATGGCATGTTAATAGCCGCATGAGATATAAGATAAGTTTGTAACATAGTTTATTTACACGTACATAAAGCAACATACATTCAACCAGAGGGACCCGTTCTCTGCAAACAAACGAAGTATGTTCAAGCCTTGTCCCTTCTTTTTGAATTGCCCAGAAACTTGGAGAGCCTGGTGCTTTCTCCATGGCAATATGTTGGCCAATCAGAATCAACTCACCAATCAACCAGCAGCCACTGTGGTATAAATTGTGATGATTATTTGAAATTTAGCATTCTTGCATTTGTCCTGATGAGTGCAAGATGGAAAGTTTTGAAAACATGTCTCTCTTTTCAGCATGATTCAAGATCTGCAGTTCCAAACAACCAAATAAGATTATTTACTTGGGAAATTTTAGTTACGAATGGCAGAATGTAAGGGATTTATCTTTGTTGTTCTTGTTTTAAAGATGTAGACTAGGATCTTTTGGGGAAAACCTCCAGATTTCTACCATTTAGCTCATAAGATCTTAAATTCACTCCCTAAACTTCTTCTTTCCACACTCTCTTCCCTCCTTCATTAAGACACTCCTTAATACCCAACCCTATGACCATGCAGGAGGTACAGCGGGCTAGGCAGCATCAGAAGAGTAGGAAAGTTGACATTTCGGGTCGGGATCCTTCTTCCTTACACTTTCCATCACCCTCACACTCCTTAGTGCATCCAATTGCCACTTATCTCTGACTCTAGCATCGGCAGTTTTTACTACCCCCATGACCAAGCATTTTGTTTATTTGTCCTAAGGCCTTTTTTTTTCGTTCAGTGTCACATTCTGTCCAATAATATTCCTATGAAGAGCCTTAGAGCCATTCACTACAAGTGTCAACTGTGTCTCAGTTTGTAGTGCTTTTACCACTGACTTACAAAATACTAAGTTCAAGTCACAATCCAGGTATTGAGTACAAAAGTGAAGGCTGACACACAAAGCGCATGTGTTAGGGAGTGCTAAGGGAGTCAGAGATGCTGGCCTCCAGGTGAGATGTTAAACCAAGGCCTCATCTGCCCTTGTAAGTGGACACAACATTCCTGTAGTATAATTTAGGAGGAATAGCAGGATAGTTATTCTTCA